ACTTCCTACTTTACTTTCGAGAGCAACATCCATCTCTAAGCTTATTCAAAAAGATGACAGGAAAGATTCTGTAACCTTTCTTCCAATTTTCATCTCTCGCTAGTCATATCAAGGATAAGGAATAAACGCTTAATGATATAGATAGATTATGTTAAGATGTATGGAATTTCATTTCATATTCCCAGCAACATATAGCTAGTTTTCATCTCAGCAATTCAAGATGGATTGGAATTTAATATTGCATCAAACAAGAAATGTTTTCTCATCTTTTGGTGATTTAATTGGACAGTTCATCAAAAGGGATTCACTCCATACTCATAATGACTAATATATTTTGATTCATATAGATAATGAATGAGACTAAATATATAACATTGGATCTCCCATAGGTTGCTTCTAATTCATGCTCTTATCACAATTTCCAGTTTCTTCTATTATTATCTGAATAAAATATGGTTATCTATTATCTCTCTTATAATTGTTTAAATATTTTTATCTGATAAGCCATTGGCTTGAAGACTTTTGAGGTTGGCATCTTGTATTGAGTATTCTTTTGTAAACAGTCTCCATAGGCAATACATAAAATCTGAACTCATGTACTAATGCAAGTACTATATCGAATCTGTAACATTAGAGTGTATATTATCATATTTACCTCATTATCTGTTTAATGCGTCATGATAGATCAAAGACTATCCACACATAAGTATCATAATATCTTTTATAATATTGAATGATAAGTATTAGCATTATGTTCACTAAAATTATCTAGCATATACTCAACATTGTTCTGTTAACTCTTTAAGCCACCAACATCTTTTAAATATTCCTCTTTATTTTTTCAATCCTTTAATTAAAACTAAATCATTAGTCAAATCACTAACCAATCATTCAATGACTAAAAGAGTTCTCGAGCATCATTTTGCCTCAAGCTTTCCTCTCATCGACCATGATTCTTAAGAAGAAGTAGCATTACAAAATATATTGAAGTCAAATTTGTGGTCTAAGAAATTAGGAGGCAAATTAAAGAGAAACTAATTTAAGAAAGTTGAAGAGAGAAGATAAGCTGAAGACAAATCAAGAAATTGAAGGTTAGACTTCACTTTCTTCTATTATATTCATTGTATAAATAGTAAGTATAAGATGATTCTAAAGAAGCTCCTTAATGTGTTTATATGGTATTTATATCTTCTAATGGGATCCCCTCCTATGCACTAGGCTCTCTCAGTGGTCTTGAGAACCCTTCATTGTTGTATCCAACATGTCGGATATGGATGATGAGATAAATTCTACTTTCTATTGGAATATCTGCAATTAAATTTTATAAATATACTCAAAATGAGCCATCACACACAATATTTTACTTAAAGGAATCATTCTAATCAATATTACGGACATTCTTTCTTCAAAACAATGCCTTATGTGC